CCTCCTTCTGCCTGTTACATACATTTCAACAAAACCATTATACCCTGATTTCCCATTTTCAATGGGTTCAGGGTATAAAAAGGCTTGCCTTGAGGCAGCAGGCATCTAAGTACCATAGCGTCTTAATAGCTGCACGATGTGGAGCATAGCACAAGAGGGTTCTGGCTGAGCAATAGCTCTAAATACTCTTTTGCCCATCTTAATCTAATCACACGATGCCTTTAGCTGTTTATCGATCTTTTTGGAATCTAGTGTTTTGATCAGCTGTCTCAATAGACGCTGTATGCTCGCCTATGTATGTATATGCACAGCAGGGACTGCACTGAAGTGCTCTCACTTGGCACTGCTGGTCGCTGACTGTGTGTGCCCGCAGAGCAGCCGGGCGGCCAGTCTGATCGTCCAGCTGGCCAAGTACACGAAGCGCTCTTCGGGTCGATCGCTTCGTTGCGAAGAGCACAAAATTCCATGAGTCGATCGCGTACAGTTTGGGAGCAATTGAAGGCAATGTGTGTGTGTGCTGCCAAAAATACAAAATATGTGTACTTGCTGCTCATGTTGAAGGAACGCTCCGGTCTGGCACGGCCTGGCACGATTAGGCACGACCAAATCTGAATCTGAAGAAGAAATGGAAAGTAAAAAGCGGCGAAAAGCATTTGCCGCACAGCCGTCAACGCTAACAGACGAGTCGACATACAGAGATAGAGATCGTGCAATCGATTATACCGAATAGCCAAATACTCTAATAAATCGGAAAGTGTCGATCGTGTTCGTAAAGTTCACAAAGCTCTGCAATTGATGCGATTTCTATTGCACGTGTGCTAATTACACACTCAGGTGTGTGCGCGCCCGTGTGTGTGTGTGTCTGTGTGTGACCAAACGCGCGGTTTTTGGTCCACATTTTTTTTTTTCGGTTGCCTCATTTGGTTTTCCCATTTAATTTTTCTTCATTTTTGTTGTTGTTGTTGCTACTGTTGCTGGTTTCCAAACGATTTATGTGTTGCTCTGTGCGCAACTAATTTTAGCCTTGGCTAATGCAATAAACTGCACCGGACAGCAGTCGAAACGTACGTAAATACCACCAGTGTATAATTATAATAATGCGAGCTGCGGTGATCTCCACATTCACAATTGACACGTGCAACGGTTTGTGAATGCGCGCCAGAGTCTCTCAACGAAATGCTGAGCGTCATGGCAACGCCACAGGAAATTCTGGATGTTGAGATGCGTAAGTTCTGGGGGAATTAGCACAACAACTTCTCAATATAGAATATATTGTAGTGTGCTATGTAGTATGCTGATATAGTTAATGGAGAAAGTGCTTTCATATAAACAATCTGTGTATAAATTTATTTGCGCTTATACTCTGTTCGCATGCGCAAAAATGGGTATATATGTTCACTCTTCATGGAGTGGAATTCTATTGATATTTATCTGCCTTTGTCATTGCTTAGATTAGCTTGGCTTGCCTTTCTTATCGATATTTGATTAGTTTAGCTAAATACCAATAAATAAACACCCTAAATATCAATTCAAATTACTCTTCGTAAAAAAAAAAAAAAAAAAAAAAAAACTTTTCATTAATTCATTTTCTTGTATACTAATTTATAAGCTGAAGGTCAGCATGTTCGTTCATTCATATAAAATGCCAATTTCAACTAAAATTTTATTCATCTTGCTGTCATTCAAATTGTTTGTATATATAAATATATGCCTAACAGTTAATTTGAAAAATTCGAGGAAAATATTTGTAGTAAAAAATATATATATATTTTTTGTTTAAATATATTTGATTCCAATTGACTTCAAGGGCGGAACAAAAATTGTTTTTAATGCAATTGCGATTAGTCTTTAGCTTAAAGCTTCAGTTTTGGTAATTAATTCTTTAACGGTATCAAAACTTTTTTAAAGCTGCTTTTTATTTTTTTAAATCTGAGAAAAATAAAAATTTACTGGGGTCTAGCTCTGAAGAGTATTGTGGAAGCGGAAGCCAAATTCCCTATTTTTTGTTTAATTTTAAATAATATTTAAGAGTCTTGATTGATTATTGACACAGCAGTTTCCATTTTATTTAATTTTTAAAAATTTATTTTATATATCATTTTCATTGCCATAGAAACTAAAGACTTTGTAGCCTTAGCTGTTGCAACATAAAAGTCTCCAGCAGCTTCTCTCTTCTTAAATAAAAATTCATCAAAATAGTTATACAAATAATTTGATGACCATAAACAGAGTATGGAAGAGACGGCTATACCCGATTTCGATATATTCAACTTAAATATTTATTGTTTTTTCTTCTGCTCAAGATGTATTGAAATCAAATTTATAAATGGCCTAATGATTGAGATTTGCTCTTATAGATATTTAAAACACATAGATATTTCTTTTGTATACCCTATATAAAGCGGATACATTACTTATCTCTTTAGGCAAGTAAAAAATTTGAACGACTTGAGCAGCCTTACTGTAATCCCATCGAACATCAATCGTTGCACTGATCTCATTTTATTTGATGTATTTCCTACTTCCTGGTTTTGGATGAACCTTTGACGAAGATAGCGAGAAGGCCTACATTAAACCGTTTGAAATTTGTGTCTCGCCCTTCAAATGGAACATTGTTTATAAACAATGGGCGTAAACAATTGCTGGAATATTAGGCAAAAATAGTACTCAAACTTGGGCATCAGATATGCTCGAACATGGATTTCGCAAGCTCGCATATAACATTAGATATATACATGTGTATATAGAGTGTATGTATTATATGATATGTTTTGTAAACAAAAATCTCCCTTACACGCTCCACTAAATAAACAACAAAGTTGATTAGAGATCTAAAAGGCAAAAAATAATTAAATGCTCACAAATTTATAATTTGCTTTAATTGGTTTTTCAGGTTAGTGCTTGATCTTTAGAGAAGAATATGTTAATGTTGTGTGCGAGTACTTGGCGAAAGATATTTGACTCAAGAAACTGTATATACCTAGTATACCTAGTGAATGAGTCAGCTGTGCTGGGATAACCCATTAAAAAAGCTCTGAAGTGTTTAAGAGGTTTGCTTGATGCTTGTTTTAGCATGAGGAAAAAGGCAGAGAGCAGAGACCAAATGCATATTTTCTTTTTTCCTATGTCTGCTTATGAATCAAATTTTGGGCCAGGTGCAGGGAAATCAAAGTAAGCCTCAATTTTTGAGTTTTCTTTCAAAGATAATGCTATACGACTTCTTATAATTATTATTTTCTGAAAGAAAATCAATTTTATGGCATACAAAAAAATTGGAATAGATTTTCTTCTGGTGAGATATTCACAATTTCGCAGAGAGCTATTCTGATAACGGTTTTATTAAAAAGTTTGTTGTTTTCCAATATTAAAAAAATTTTGTTGCTTAAATAATACAGAGAATGTATTTGTATTTTTTATAAAAAAAAAAATAAAATAAAATAAAAATAATTATAAGTAAATAAAACTGAGTTCAATGGATAATAATAATATAGAAAATATTCAATAACAATTGAGATCATTAAAAGTGGGCTATGCAGATAGTAAGCTGTTTATATCAGAAAACTCGTCAAACTTGGATGAAATATAATACGCACATAAATACATACATATCGTAAAATACCAGAAGTAATTCCTCAGCTAATCGATGACCTAGCTAGGCATCAGTCACTCATATACTCGTATAGTCCCATTGAATTGCCAGCTTTTTAGTTTAAAGTGATATGGGTGTGGGTGGGGGTTGGTGGGGTTGCATGTGCATTGGGCTGCCCTTTTTGAGTATTTACACGATTTGTACACTTAGCAGAACACGCACTGATGTATAATGTGCCACCCACGGCGCTTAAATGGCTTCTATAATGGCCGTGCGATTCGCATTAAAATAGATTCCCCAGATACAATTTCCACCCACATATCGTATCAGACTAATGGTGTTAAGATCCATTCGAATTGCTGTGCGTGCAACACGTGCGGGCATTTTGATTGTGTGCGGCAAGCTACAGGGAGGGAGGAAGGAACAGACGCCGACGCAGACGCGGGAGCGGGGCGTTGATGGATGGGTGGGTGCATCATTAAAGATGGTCAGCATATGGAACGTAATTAAATTTATAGAATCCGAGCATATTATGTATATGAAATCGTTGGCATTTAAAATAATAAATACGAGTGCAATATAATTTGGCAAATAAACAAGAAGCGAGGCGGCAAATTTTCCATAGCTATAAGAAAAGAACTGAGAACAYGGAGAAGAAGAAGAGAAACCGCTCATAGCATCCGTTGAGGAAGAAGGCGAACATATGTGCCCCGATTCTGGCCCCAAACCCATTTCATAGCAAAAACACACACAAATTATGAACGGCCCCCATAAAGGTGGCAATTGCCTTTTGATGTTGCTTTTTAATGTCTAGCGAACAGATCTTGGGAGTCCCAAAAGCAATTTGATTCGCCGAAACGCTGAATCGCTGAATCGCCAAATCACCAAGCGGAACAATGACCAAAAACGAACTTGAACTGCCAAACGGAAATGTACACATTCATTGCATTACGATTGTTTAAAAATTGCTCGCATTCGCGGCATTGTTTTCCACTGTTTACTGTTTGCATGCGGCATGAAATGTTCGCTGCGCCTCAATTAGCTGTCAGAAATATCAACTCTTCCAGCCCAGGCCAGGCCAGGCCATTGCCGTGTCGATCTTCTGTGGACTGATCCCCGATCTACTCTGCAACAACACTGTGCAACAATGTCGAGGAATCAATAGTGGAAGGATGGTAGAAGCTGTGAAGTTCTTGAGCTAGGCTGGCTGGGAAATATTACGGTTATGTTGGAAACTAGTATAACTATAGTATAGTACATATATATAGTATATAGCAGGGACCGTAACGATTATAACTTTTAGAGCAAAAAAATACAAATTAAGAATTATTTTTTGAGCAATAAAAAAATTATTTTTAATTATTATA